TAAAGAAATATAATAAATAAACCTTAAAGAAATAATAATCTTAAAAAAATATTAGAAATAATTTTTTTTAAAAAAATAACAAATAATCTTAAAAAAATATTAGATATAGAAATATTAAATAAATTTTAAGTAAATCTCAATAAAATTCTAATTAAAATTCTAATAAATTTTAATCAAATCCTAATTAAAATCTTAATGAATTTTTATCAAATTTTAGATCAAATCTTAGTTAAATTTCAATTAAAATCCTTATTAAAATTCTAATTGAAATCCTAATGAATATTAATCAAGTTTTTTATAAAACCTTAATTAAATCCTAATGAAATTCTAAATCCTAAACAAATTCTAAATCTTAAATCAGTCCTAATGAAATCCTAGCAAAATTCTAAGCTTTAACAAAATCCTAAATCTTAGACCAATCCAAATCAAATCCTAGCAAAATCCTAAGCCCTAGCTACATCCTAAATTCTAGACCAAACTTAATCAAATCCTAACAAAATCTTAAGTCCTAGCTAAATCCTAAATTCTAAATAATTTAATTAATTACTATAGTTGTTTGAAACCTCAATAAATATTACTTGAATCATAGATCTTAGCTAAAATTTCACCCAAACTTCAATCAATAAATAATTAAAAAGTATAAAATTTTTGAAAATAATTGGACTTATTAATTATAAAAATACCTCACAAAACCTCTCAACTATTTGCTGACATCCTTCTCCGACTTGAATGTTGATCTTTCAACAAAAAATTCTCCTTGCTAAACCATTCAATTGCTCCAAGAATTGGATTGTATATAGATATTCAAGTCTAAATTACTTTCATTAATTTTTGCTTCAATTGAATAGGTAAATATTACAAGATTGTAGAATTCCTCATTGATCCTAAATTTCAATTATCTAAAACCATGATCCACAAAATCTCTTATATTCTTCAATCTAACTGCTTGATTGACTTCAAATTTTGCACACACATTCACAACAAGCACAACAACAAACAGTCAAATTTTCATTTATAAACATACTATGAAACTCACAAAATCCTAAAATTTATAAATCTGTTTTTATTTCTCAAAATCTAAATCCAATAAGTACACCACTAATTTAAAAAATCCTTTAAAACCTTAAATCTAATCCAAATGATATGAAATAAACTTTTAAAAAACTTTTCATAAGTTTGCTCTCAAATCCCATTCTTTGATTTATAAAAAAATCCAATTGCTATAGATATGTGGTTTTATGCCTCAAGGTCTAATTTTGACATAGGTTCACAACCAATCCTCTCAAGGTATTAATTTTTAATAATATGGAATATTATTTGGTTAAATTTATTATTAATTCTCTCCTTAATATACATATATTAATTACTTATCTTTTTTATTTTGATTTGAGGCATTTATACTTGTACAAAGTAAACAGAAGTACCTTCTATAAAAAGTAACATTAAGACTAAATGTTTTTACTACTTTCCTATCATTTATCCTTATTTTTCTACATCTTTTTACTAGGATCTTCTATAATAACATCCATATTTTTATTTTTCACCATATAGTTGTATTACTATATAACAATATTTGACTTGTAAAGATAAACTTGAGTAGAATGAAGAAGTTAAAGTAGTAATTAAAGCTTTGAAAAAACTTTTATTACATAATCAAAATTATATTGCATTAATCTCTTTAAACCATTTTTATGGAAATAGACACATTAAACTTTGCCTTATACATAGTATTATCACAAATGAAAGCAAATGAAAATATTTATCCAATAATATTTTATTTAAATAATATTTCAGCAACAAAGATGAACTACAAGATATACAACAAAGAGCTTCTTCCATTTATGGATTCATTCAAAGAATGAAACTATAATATAGAAGATGCTTCTAATTTAGTGATTATTTATATATGACAAGAAATTCAAGTATTTTATATCAATACATATTTTGAATTGTTTTCAAGTCTATTAATGCATGTCTTTATTGAAAATTATATTTATTATCACTTATTGGCTAAGAAAAAAATAAAGTTTGTTAGATTTCTTCTCTAAATTTTTTAGTTTTAATCTAAAAAAAAAAGATGCAGCTTTTGACCAACAACAAATTATTCTTTTGAAGCAAGAGCAATTTTATTTTTTTGCAATGAAATTAACATTAAATATTGATTTAATCTTTCTTCACTATATCCAATGAAGCATATCTTCAAATTTTCTTACTCATAATATCAAAAATAAATTTCTAAATCTCATTATATATCCAAGTTTGAATTCAAGAATAATCTATTCTATTTTAATAAATATTTATGTGTCCCAACAGTTGTACTATAATTACAAGCTCTTTAAGCTTGTCAAAACTTTCCAGCTATAAAACATTTTAGATACCATAAGACCTTGAAAGCAATATCACGAGATTTTTAGTGGGCCTCAATGTAAAAGATTGTAAAAGTTTTTGTACAATCATATAATATTTGTTCAAGCTTAAAAATTCCTGGTCATCAATTTTATAGACTTCTCCAACCACTACCTATACCAAACAACCAGTAGTCTTTTATTTCTATGGATTTTATCATGAATCTATAAATCTCTATAAGGCCTAATTTGATCCATTCCATTTTCAAGTTCATATTAAATTCATGATTCATCTTTGAAATCTAATAACCAAATCTAATTACTTGTGCTAAAAAAATTGCTATTAAAAAATTAAAATTAAAATGATATATATTATAAAATATAATATACATTTTTAAATTATTATAATATATAAAAAATAAATTATTTAGTTAAAATTAGATAATAAGTTGATTTTATAAAAATAAAAAATAAATTATATTTTATAAAATATTTTATTTGATAGAAAAAAATTTCTAATTTATTTTTTATTTTGACATTATTAAATGATGTTATTTAAATATAATTCATTAACTAAAATATTTATTTAATTTATAAATCTAAATCATATATTAATGCCACATAAAGATTTGACTTTGTATGTTGCAATCTAAATAAGAAATTTTATTATTACTCTAAGTGAAAAATCTAAAAAGATATTTTCTTTAAAAAACTTAAAAATAAAAGTATAATAAATATGATAAAATAAAAAATAATAATAAGTAATTGAAGACTAATTAATAATTGTGTACATACTTTGGTAGAATGTTTTATAATTTTTATTAATTTAAATCAAAATAATTGTAAGATTTTTTACATTCTAATGTTTATTACTTATAATTCAAAGTCATTATTGCAAGGAATTGCAATTTTAAGATATCCATTCTTATTACATGAACTTTTTATACTATCAATTGTTAGAATTAGTGTCAAAATAGGATAGAAATCAAACAATATTTAATACAAAGAAAGAAATAAAAAAGAACAAAGTATTATCAAATTACATATATTATCTTTATTAATATATATTTTTGTCCTACATTAATTATAATTGTGTTATTTTAAGGATTTTATAGAACTTGACTTTTGGATTGAAGATTATGTATATAAATAGCTTCTATAGTAGCCAAGAATATAAAACACAAAACCTTAAAGTTCTCTTTGTTGTCAACTTTCTTTTGTTTATAATATTCACATTATATCTTTATTTTGCTATATCATTCTAAAGCTTTAGTTTTTTGCATTTTGATAAAATTTTAACTTATAAATCACTATGTACAAGTGAATCTTAATTTATAATTTATAATTTATCTTACCAAGAATTCTTTTTTATAATTCTATTGATTGTGATTCTAAGTTCAAATTTTATTTTAGTTTGCAAGAAAATAAAGACTAAATGTTGTATAGAACATAATTATAACTTTTTATGATTTGACATTTAATACATTTGATGTATTTGATCCATTCAAAAATAATAATAATAACAAGAAAAATAAATAACAGAGAAAAATTTAGAAAGTAAACTATTTTAGCCATAAATGCTAGAAAAAATAAGCAAGTAGATACAAAGAACAAGATTGAATGTGAATTCAAGAAATGAAATTTTGTTTTTGTTTTTAGAAATCTTTTCACATTTTTTAATAAATGGTCACATATTTTATGATTGTACATTATTAAGATTGCAAGAGAATTGTATAATAAACATACTTTAACAAATTTGAACTAAACCTATTTTTATACGTATATAAACATAATATATAATGGCTGTCTTTAAAAAATAGTTTATATTAATCTATAAACTTATTATATAAATAAATACTATTTACATAATATTTGAATATTTATATTATTACAATTCTTTGCACTTAATCTAGATTATATTTTTTTGTTACATCAAATATTATTTCAAATGACCAAAAAATATATTTGGATTTGATTCTTTGCAAAAAATAAAAATATAAAGAAAAATAAAGAAAAATAAGTCTTCTAATATAGGTCATGCAAAAAGTACTTAAAAATATCATTAATTTTTGAAATTCAAAAAAATTCAAAAAATTAAAATTATTAGTATATTCATAAATGATTTAAAAAATAAACACATAATATATATATATATATATATATATATATATGTGTGTGTGTGTGTGTGTGAGTGTGTGTGTATGTATTACAAATTTATCCTTGTATAATTGCAAATATTGATTCTATGCAATACAATAATTCCATCATAAAATCAGTCTAATAAAAAAATAAGTTAACCAAACAATATTATGAAAGAAATTTGAAGGTAAATGAGACATTTTACAAACCCTAAACCCTAATCCTATGTCTGTATCTTATACTCTAGAATCCAAATTTCAAATCATACATGATGACTGCTTCTAAATTAGTGTTAACCCTGAATTCTAAAGTACAAAAATACAATATTAGTGTAAACCGCATGTAATGTGTGCCACGTCAGAGTGTGCCACGCTGGACCATGTGCTACGTCTAAAACAGCCCAAAATGTGAAGCAAGAATGACCGTGTCAAAAGGCCGGTATCAGAATGGGAAGGGACCCCCCTGGGGAACGGAATTAGGGTTTTGCCACGAAGCCAGGCAGGCTGCGGGAGAGAGGGAGGGGGCTGCCTTCAATGGCCATGGCTGCACCGAAACCCTCCTTTTCGCACGCACCCCGTCGCTCAACCCTCTCTCTCTCTCTCTCTCTCGCTCTCTCGCGCTTGCGCTGCTGCTCCGCCATAGCTTAGCTAGCTCGTAACCATGGTGCTCAAGACTGAGGTGTGCAGGTTCTCCGGCGCCAAGATCTACCCTGGGCGGGGGATCAGGTTCATCCGGAGCGACAGTCAGGTGTTCCTGTTCCTCAACAGTAAGTGCAAGCGGTACTTCCACAACCGGCTGAAGCCCGCTAAGCTGTCATGGACGGCATTGTTCAGGAAGCAGCACAAGAAGGACCTTCACGACACCACCGTGAAGAAGAGACGCCGCACCACCAACAAGCCGTACTCTCGGTCCATCGTGGGAGCCTCGCTTGAGGTGATCCAGAAGAAGAGGACGGAGAAGACGGAGGTGCGTGCCGCAGCTCGCGAGGCGGCGTTGCGGGAGATCAAAGAGAGGATCAAGAAGACGAAGGATGAGAAGAAGGCGAAGAAGGCCGAGGTGGTGAAGACGACGAAGGGAGCGGGGAAGCAGGTGGCACGGGGTCCCCAGCCCAAGGCTGGCAAGACCGGCGCTGGAGGCAAGCGTTAAGGGCGGCAGTATGCAGGGCAAGCAATGAGAACTTCATGTCTTGTGGCATTGTTCAATTTATGGCTAATCTAATTCTCGTAATGCACACTTAAGTTGGCAACCACAATGGTTTGTTAGTGTTCCCCACTGAATGTCATTGGATTGACTGTGAATTCTCGAATGATGAGTCTCGTTTGATCTTGTCACTCTTTGCGTTTCTTGTTTTTCAGTTTATTCCGTTTCACTTATTTCAGCAACCTGGGAAGTTTGTCTTGATCCCCGAAAATGATGTAGACATTTAGACGGTTGTCATCAATTATTGTTTTCATTGAAGAACCTTGGATGTTTTTAGGGTTGAGAACTCTTGGCTACCCTGAAACCTGTTAGTTTATGATTCTACGCTCGTTAATGTCGGAATTAATATTCTCAATTTTGCCCTAGTTTTGTATGTCAATACTGCTGCACAATGTGTAGTTTATTTTCTGCCTATACTGCTCGTACACTCATGCCAATAGGGGGCATACATAATGTCACTTAGTGCCTGCTCTTCTTCAAGTTCCATGTGCGCCATTTGCTGGTGGATATTTTTGGGTGACCTGACCCACTCGGTTTTCGAATATTTAAGTTAGGGTTATGTGTTTCAGATTTTCCTCCTCTACCTGTAGTTTCTCGATCAAGAACTGTGTTAAACAATGACTTCTGTTCCCGTTAGACACCTTGTACGTTTCCTGTGCTTTTGCCTTACATTCGAGTTCTTTTTACAGGAGGTAGAGAGCTGATGTTCTAGTATAATTTCTTGGGATCTGATCCACGAGTCCATCGTACACTGAGAAAACCCATTGAAACTTATTTTTCCATGACCGTGTGGCTGTGCTTCTGCTACCGGTCGTCCCTCACAGTTATTTTGGATTAATGTCAATTGAATTTTAAGCAGTATATTGATCTCCAGTCAGCGTTTGTGTAAGTTTGTTAGGTGACCGTGGTCTTCCGTGGAAGTTTTGCTCAATTTTATCAACTCAAAGATTTAGTAGGAGTACTTGAAAGGGAAAGTAAATCCTACGGAAAGCCTGTCTACAGGGAATTTCGGCGCATTCTGTGTATTGTAGTTCACCTGACTGCTACTTCATTCTTGTGCATCTTAAGTATGGTACTTTCCTAAAGATTATCGTGTCGTGTAAGTGTAGTTGGGGTGCGACCACTGCCTGTGTAAGATTGCATGCCCTTCTGTGTAAGCTGAAGCAACAAATAGAGCGCAAATACATTTGCCGAATTTGCTCTAGGATGTTTCGATTTTTCTTTGAACTAGTTATGGGATTCGAAAGTTCGATGGAATGCGAGTAGTTTATTATTATTACATGAATGTGAAAGAATGTCAGAGAGGAAGTTGGCTCATGTGGGAATGGTTAAAACCCTGGTGGATTCATTAGTTAAATGTGAGCAGTCCACTGAGCCGCAGTGCAACCTTGGGGAAGGGGGGCATGCAAGAAGCACTGTCAATGATGTGGCACAGAATACGACCATCACGTCTCCCACTGGGGCCCATGTGTCCTACCAAGTGGAAAATCAAAGGGAGGTGCGCCCACTCTCACTGTGGTCTCCAACACTTGCTATTTCGCTCTCTGTGTTTTGTTTGCTTCTTCTTCTGTAGGACCAGTAGTGTTGTGCATGGCATCTTCCCCAGTCAAAGTGATGATCTGCTCCCCTGGCCAACCCAGTTCCTATCTTAAAAACGCTTCAGCCATGCAAACATATCAGCACTAGGGAAATGGGTAACCTTGGTCAAATTGTTAGCAATCTGTGTTACCTTTAGTCATCTGGAGTTGCAACTCTGCCATAAACACTACCAACAGCCACTTGTGTGGTTCTCTTCTTGATTGCAATTTGTGTATCCACAGATCCAGTTTCACATATTACTGCTGAGGTTAACACATGCATTTTTAACTAGTTAAACTCTATAAAGTAAAACCACTAGTAGCGATAGATATTTATATATATATATATATATATATTTGTATGCATGCGCCTACATCATTTTCATTCGAGCAGGTCCAGATGAGGGGCAGGGCTTAAGCTAAGCAGAGGCAACAAAATGAATTGTGTGTTAGTGTGTGCGAGATTTAACACGTGGAAAAAATGGGTGTGTACGTTTGGCCATGGACCAGCACCCTCTCACCCACCCATCCATCGTTCATTCTTCTTCCTGGCTTGCACGATCGTGGCTCTTTTGCCACTGCAGCAATGGATTGGAGGAGAAAGCGGCTCATCCACATCGTAAAACTCCTGAAATGCAAAAAAAAACTACAAAAGAAAGAGGATGGGGCAAGTTCATTTGGGTTGCATGATCCCACAGTCAAAGGAAAAGGGAATGGGGAAGGATGACAAGTTTTCTTCTTATTTTTTAAAAGACAGAGAATGGCTCTCGTAAGTTTGAAGGAATTAAAGAACTAGAAAACTTAAAAAAAGATAAAGGGAAACTTAAATAATAAAAGAATACATATGTGGACTTGCTACCTTTAAAGTCACTGCCTAATTTTCTGGTGATATATTGTTGTAGATTTAGCAAGTGCTAACATTTTGGATGTTCTCTAAATAAATAAATAAATAAATATATATGTATATATATATATATATATATATGTGTGTGTACACATAGTCCAATTGTTTTACTATACTTTGATATGTTTCACCTAGTTTCTGGTATGACTAAAGTACAAAACATTTTCTGTATTGTGGGTACTAATGATGTAACTAAAGTTTCATTATTATTATTCTTATTATTATTTCATCCTTACAACAATTTTATAAGTTCAACTTTTTGTATTTTATTTATTTATTTATTTATTTATTATTATTATTATTATTATTATGTGAGTCCTTAAAAAAATATTTGTGACTCAGCACTTGATTTAAGATTAAAATGCACAATCAGATTTGGATATCCAAATAAATGTATTATATTAAATAATCATACAAGACCAAAATGAAAATCTTTAACAAAACAATTTGGCTGTTAGAAAAAATTGGTGTGTTTTTTGTGATATTGATAAAATATAAAATTTATTCATTTCAATTTTTTTTCACATTTCATTTGTTCTTTAATTTTGTAAGTCATTTGGCATAACAATTGAATCCTCAATACCCATGGAAAAATTGTTGATTTATATATTTTTTCTATCAAAACTATATTAAATCATATGTGTCAAGTGTGAATGTGCTGAGTAAGGTCATAATTAAATATTATAAAGTATGCACTTGCGAAGCTTCTAATTTATACAATATTTGAATTATACTCTTCAATACTTGTAGGTGTTTTTACATGAAAAAACCATTCAACAAACATTTATACTTAGCATTTGTTGCAAAGTAAATAGGAGTAGAGTTATTCAATTTTTTTTTTATTATTATTATTATTATTTTTCAAAAAAACATCATGAGAATAAACTTTAACAAAAGCAAGAAATTATGTAGTTTTTTGAAATTTGTTGTGTCTTATGCTAGCTGACAATCATTGTATATTCATTTATACCAAAATGACCTCCTTTACCATTATTTGCAAGTCCCAGGACCTTCTTTAGAGGCATAATGAATATTACAAAAGAGTAAAAAGAATAAATATAGAATGCTAAGTTGACATGTTAGATTGACTTGATATCACTTGATACGTCACCAAAATATCAAGTGATACGTCAAAAACTTAGAGGAGGTAATAAAATTTGAATGGTGATATTTTAGATTGTGATATTTCAAGTGATTCATGATATTTGATTTTCTAAAAACCAAAAAAATCTGTGATATTATATTATCCAAAAATTTTAAGTCCAAATTCCTTTGATAGGAGTATGATCAAATGTAATAACAACCAATATGGCATTTAAATAAGTTTGAATGGTAGAAGAGAGACAACTAAAGTAAAACAAAAATAATTGAAAAGAAATGTAAAAGAATAACAAAGGATATAAAGGACCATAAGTGTCCTTTGCACCATTAGTGTATAAGCTTCATTTCCTTGTCTTGGAACAATTTATGTGCTATGTCATATGTCTATTCCATTCCATCTCTTTAGTGCTTTCATATCTTAGACTCACTACACTTGACTTCAATTAAAAACTCTCTTTCTTTAATTTTAATTTCTTAGATGATTGATTTAAAATAAAAAATATTTAGAATTCTTTTTTAAATTATATATATATATATATATATATTTAAAATGATGAAAAATATTTTTTGATTAAAAAAATATAAAATTAAATATTATTAAATATCAAAATTTAAAATTTAGAATTATATTTTAAAAATAATCAAAATTTTATGACACCAAAGAATTAATGAAGTTGTAAAATTTTATTTTATTTTATTTAATTTCATAAAAATTATAAGAATAATAAATAAGTCATAGTAGCCAAAGATTTCAAAGTTGCTTTTAAAACAAAAAAATACCATGCAAATTATTCAAAGATATCTTTATTGAAAAACAAAAAATTTGAAGTTATAACATAAAGCATCAATAATGTTGTGTACAAAGAGAGTATGGAATAAGATGTCTCTTACTTCTAACATCTATTACTTATAGGTGGTAGTTGCTCTCTTAAAAGACAACTTTCACTCTTTGACTTATATACACATGATCAAAGAATCTTTTGATATCTAACTTATCATATAGATATTTTATGGTCCTTGTATCTTTTGATATCTCACTAGCTATAAGAATATTCTATGCCAAATACTAATTATTCTTATCTAGTCTTTGAATATTCTTTAGTTGATATGTTATCTTTTTAATTTTGATTCTTGGTCTTTGATCTTGTTCTATATTAATAGAATGCTCTTTCTATATACCAATAGTCAATCTTTCAACTATTAGTAATTTATCTATCATAATATCTTTTATATAATAACTTATTTTATTTTTATTTTTACTTGCTTTAATCCTCATACTTTACTATTGATCAAAGGCTTTCAATTCTAATGTCTTTGTCAATATATTATTTTTATCTTTTATTAATGACTTTGTCAAAAAATTAGCATGCATGTCTTTATTTGCATAATAAGTTATATCAATTACTTCCATTTCAAACTTCTCTTTTATGAAGTGATATTGAATGTTAATGTACTTGGTTCTTGAATGGTGCTTTGGGTTCTTTAAAAAAGCA